GCTGAGCTCTCGGTATGAATAACGATGCTAAGCTTTGGAGGTTGTTTTCTTGGTCATCCTTTAAGTGCAGCACTGACTGCCCTGAGATGCATTTTATAAGTTTCTGAAGTAAGGTAGAAATAGATCTAACCATGGTTTAGATTTTTTTCTTCTAAAAGTAGGCACATAATTGCACGTTCTGCGCTTCCTGTTTCCTTAGCAATAGAAATTTCTGGATCAAAGTATGGCATTTAGCCATGTAGTTCACTAGATGCAGTACATCCAACATTGCCTAACAAGACTGATCTTTTGTATGGCAACATTGCTAAATATAACTCAGCTTCTGTTGGTCTCCACAGGACAACACAAGTAGCTCAATAAGAGCTGGATATCAAAAAAAACCAAAAAGGCAGAGAAAGCAGACCTGACAAAAGAGCATATCTCTCTCCAGGCCTATCCCCAAAAGGGAAGAGAGTGGGACACCGTGTGAGAGTATGTCAAGATACAGAAGCCAAACCACACACTCATTGCAGGTGTTTTGGCAGCTCAATTTTTAACAACCCCTTGGAGGGTGGCATCCCCATGTCAACCTCTCTGTCCCAGGAGAGGGGCAGAGGATGGCAGGAGATGACCCCTCTGCTCAGGGGTGGCTACACTGCATGCAGCCCTTCCCCCTGGGCTGCAGGTGCTGAGACATGTCCAGTGCCCCCGTAGAGGGAGAGGGAAAGGGGCCAGCATCCATCTGGATCAGTGGAGTCAACCTCCAGCACGGACATCTGCGCCTGAGCTGGTCAGGCCAGGCTCTCCTTGCAGCCTGCAGACATACAGTCAATATAACTAATCAAGTTAGGTTCTCTTTCATCTCATCCTGGAATCAATGCCTAAAATTGTTCAGAAGAAGGAAACACTGGACATGTATTTATTTCTTGAGTGACATTAAAGAGAAGTAAAAGGGTCTGGGCTCCTCTGTCCCCTATAAGGGAGTTCAGGTCAGCTGTAGGTGTGTATATTGTGGATGTCTCAAGATATCTGAGACAAGTGTGATGCCAAATGCTTTGCCTGCGCAGCTATAGCTTAAGGACCTCCTGATCACCATGCACAGATTTAAATCAGACACCCTTTTTCTAGCTGGGACAGCCAAGAATTGAGCAAAGGAATGCAGAGGGCTTGGCACAGGATCCACAGGCTTAAAACAGTCCACACTAGGAATTCCTCAAAAAATGAGAGGAGAGTCTTTGGTTTTTTTCTGGAGGATATGGAAATCAAAGCACAGGGATGTCTCTTCCTCTGTAGGCCACAGGTTAGTCAATACATTGAACCTGAAACCCAGTTGACTAGGCTCTGTAGGGGTGAACCACATGTGAAACAACCAGCATTTGTTTGGATACTTACTTTGTTTTCTGAGGACACAGTAAGCATCACTGAGTTTGCATTGCCTTAGTCCTCAGCTCCCTTCTGTCTGGCTCAGACTGTAGCTTGCTAACCCCCACATCACACACCCCCCAAGGCCTCTTCTGATTCATTATCAGGCTAGGGAGAATCTGAAATGTAGAAATTAGTCCATGGTGCATTAAGTCAGTTTCCTACATAAAACATGGTGCATTAAGGCTTTTTACTGTGTCACTGGTTTCTAAAAGCAGCTTAACCAAATCTCAAAACCAATTCACATATTTTCAGTAGGAAATCATAAATCTTCCCCATCATTTTGGCAGGCCTCTTCCTTCTCTGCCCTCCCATGAAATTCAGTCTTCTAAGCTGATTTCCATAATTCCTTTCACTGAGAATCTGTCTTGCTGCCGTCGCTGGTTTCATATATTTGACCATCCCACAGTGAAAGGGAGCAGGCAGGATGTTTTTTTCCTCCCTGTAAATATAGAGCATTTATGCCAGTGTTGCAGGAGAAGCATCATGTCCTCTTGCAGCATCCTTCAGGGCCAAGGGCTCCTTGGAAGGCACGTATTGCACGTCACATGTGATCTCCGGGGAATGAACCTGCTGGTGTTTTCCCTCACTCTTGGTCAATCCCGTTCAGTGAGTTCGCGGCATCTCCTTTGCGCCGGGGTTGACGGGGCAGCACTGACTGTAAAACGCGAGGATCAGCCCTCTGCCCCTTTCCCTTCCTGTCGATGGTGGGAACAGCCCGGCGCTGGGATCTGCTGGTTCTCCACGAGATGGTGGTAGATGCAAAGCGTTGGGCTGGAGCTGCCTGCGAGCGTCCGCTGCCCGCCCTTCCCCGAGCCAGACATATCCCAAGCCGTACCCCAGCCCTGCCCTCCCCGAGCCAGCCGCTGCACACGGGGCTTGTTTGGGCAAAGCAGGATTATCTGCAAAGAGCAGGCAGAGAGAGTCTGTCTCACAGTCCAGGCTGCCCAGCGCTCTGGCATAGGACTCCTTAGGGAACATCTGTCCTACAGAAAGTGCCTTCTTAATATGCATTGGCTACCTCAGGGTAGCCACCACATTACAAAAGCTGTGCAAGCAGGACAGCTCAGGTTTGAGGCTTCATTATAAACCACACAGAAAGATCTGGGATTGACTTTGTCTCTGCAATGAAAACCAGTATGTTCGTTCTGTATTTGCAGTTCAATGTGGAAAAACATTAGCTAATGGAAAGAAAAAGCTACCATTCTTATACCCAAACACATATTCATTCCCCTGTATGTTGGTGTGCTTCCTGTGGGCATGCAAGGCATGCACTGGCCAGAGTGCCAGGGCAGATACCAGGAGATGCACTGCCACAGTCCTGGAGTGTGCTTGGCACCAGCATGTGCTTGCTGCTGAATAGTAACTACCCCTTACAACCCTGACCCAATGGCTTATAAACTGTAATATCTCTTCCTATTCTTCAATGTAGTTCAATGTAAGAGCTTCTCCCAGGTAAGAATTTGGTGTGAAATGTTTCCAAAAGAATCAGATAACCCATATCACTGCAGGGGTCCTGGGGATGGAGAGCAGGACCATATGGGACATCCACCCTCACGTTCTTGCCTCCAAAGGAGGCTGAGCTTGCAGGGACAGGGTGTCACCTGCTAGTGACTGTGACTTGCTGAGAGGACAGGTGAGTCTGAGTTCATTTGCACAGAGAAGAGTAGCTGGTACCCCAATGCTCATCACTGCAGTCTGCTCAGTGATGACATCAGAGATGACCCAAAGGCAAAGTACACAAAGGAGGGAGCCCCACAGGACTGTGGTAGCCAAGTGCCTTGGGAGTGGATATGAGCAAGGGGAGGCTTGTGTCGGGCAACCTGTAAGACAGCATGCACACCACCCCTGTCAGCTGGGCCCAAATTCTGGGGTTTAATCCAAGATGCTGGCTGAGCTGCTGCTGTTGTGAACAAATTAGATCTTAACCAACACCGGACAAGCCTCTCAGCTCATAGTTGCCTCCTGACCGAGATCTCTGCTGTTTGTGTGAAGCTGCTCCTTGGCTCTGCTCCTGTGCAAACTCAACAGAGTGACTTAGGTGGCAGGTGGTGTAAGAGGAACTCCTGGATCCAGAACAGAGAAGAACAGGAGGCTTGGCAGAGCACTGGGGTCTTACAGCCCTGATGCTCACAACTGACTTGCACAGCAGGAAGATGCAAATTTCAGCTGCCCTGGCAGGCCAGCTTGTCTGAGGGGCTACAGGGGATGCTGAAACCCCCCAAAAATGAGCCTGAACATGCAAGCTATGTGGCTGTTGCTAACACATAGTACTGGCATACTGTATGACTGAGGAACTGTGTGCTGTTGTATCTGCTTCATGAAAAGAATCACTTCTCTTTTAAATTAAAGCCTGCATTCTTTCCTGCAGCATCAAATCTCATGTTTCTTTTCTAATGCATTTTATAATCAAACTGTCAAAATTCTTCCAGGCAGAAGTTAATAATATCAGCCAGCCAGTTTGGTTATAGCAATACTGACCTCACTTGGGTGGCAGGACCGATTCCGAGCACTTTAGAAGCACATTGGTGTTGGATGATACTCAGGAGCTGCTGTTAGAAACTGATACTGAGTGAACAAAACACAGTCTTTGCTTACACGAGGAAACAAAACACTTAAGATATTCTGTACATGCCTTAGCTACTCTCTGCTTTAGCCCTCCAATTCAGTTAAACCTTTGTAACCTCATTTGTATAGCCAAGCTGTTTTGGCATATTACTGGGTTTGGCTCAAGTAGCCAAACTTTATTACACAGAAAGCAAATCTGAGATATGTGCAGCCATAAAACAGATTCACAGAAGCCACCCAGTTAAAAAAAAAAGACTCATCCAAACCACAACCAGTCCCACGTTGATCCTTGAGTCTAAATTTTCTCAGAGTTCAAGGCTGAGAGAAGGAAAGATGCAAGCTACATACATAGCTGGTAGTACAACCTAAGTTTTTGGACTGCCTAATGCATCTTGCCATCTTAATTCTGGGTTTATTTACCATTTATACATATTTATTTTTATTATTTTTTACCTTTGCCCAATTAGCAAAAAGCTAGTTAGCAAAAAACTAATTGCCCAGTTAGCAAAAAAGCCAGAGCTTTGCTTGCCAGGTGTGTCTTGCAGGCTAGGTTTTCTTCAAAGTTTTCAGCCAAAACAGTTCATGTGTCTAAGAGCACCTTTTTTCCTTAAGGTAATCATGGCCAGGTTCAAGGCAAGCAAAAGCCCACATCCCCCTCCCAATACTCCAGCAATCTTTGAAAAGCTGTAGTGCTTTTTTTTTTTTTAATTGGAAAAGGGACTTGGAACTGGACAAAACAGTAACCTTACTGCTGAAATAGACTTTTTCTAGTCTCTCTGAAAATTTGGCCAATTCACAGGGCTTTGGATAAAAACCAAGCCAGCTGCAGTTCACATGTGCTCATCAGAAGCCAGCTAGAGATTGCAGGCTTCGTTCTCTGGTGAGTTCATGAGCATGGGATACACTCTAGGGCCTGGAGTGGGACTTCCCTAGAACTTGCATTTTCTAACTGCTTCAGGCCAGAGCAACTCTAAATCCAGATACTTGAAAGTATGGATTTTTAGTTGTTTTTTCAAACTATTTGTTTCCAGGCTACATGAAGTGACTGCATTCAGAGGAGGTGAGACATGGAAGACAAGGAGATAACTTGGAAAAATAGACTTGGAACAGACAAAAGGAACCCCAGCAGAGAGCGGGGGGGACACGAAGTATGTGAAGACTGGGGTGGAAATCAAAGGATGAGGAGGAGACTGAAGCACAGCAAAGAACGAAGGCAACTGGGAAGTGGCATATGGGGAAAGGATGTGAAGAAACTCATTTTAGCCTCTCTTTGCACATTATTCTGAGCTCACTTAAGAACACTTGAGCTCACTCAGAAGGCCTTCCCTTTCCTTCTGACACTGTCCTGGTGAACGTTATAAAAAAAGCACCAAAACTTCACAAAATAAAGTATTTGTTGAACACCCCTAAAATGCAAGGAACAGCATTGCCATCATATTACAAACAGAAAACCAGAGCCTGGAACTATTTCCTGATTATTCAATCCAAGAAGTACATTTGTTGTACCAGGAGACTGCTGTATAGTGGTGTATGCATGTTCTTTACATGTTCCTGCTGCCTTCTACAGCAGCTGCAAGTCCTAAATTCTTCTGTTAGCTATGCTTTATTTAGGTCAGGCATCTAAGGAATAAGGGATGCAAAACTTCACCTCCATGCATGTGGAAGGATTTGGCCTGAGCTGAGGAAGAGGGGAGGGATGAGAATCTGCACTGTGGCAGACCCTTACCCAATTATTCTATGGCATCATTTGATACTAAAGTTACTCCAAACTTTGAGGGTTCAGGAGCAGTCCTTCCTTTCCAGGATGTCATATAATTTCGAGAGGGTTTTTCTTTTAAGGCTTCGAATTTGTCCTGCTATCAAAAAAGGAATCTGAAGTCCCCATTTACTTCAGCTGAGCGTGGTGTGGCCCCTGGAGCCACTGCCTCCGCCATGCACATGCTGTAAACCCTGTGGTGCTGCCAGCGCCCACCACTTGCACTGAGATTCTGTCTTCAAACAGGCACTTTGTGGTCTCATTGTGACTGCAGCTCCCTGGTTTGCCTTGAGTTCCCTTTCCTGGCTTCTGCAGAGCTGGTTGATGAACCACCTAGGCTTTATCACTGTGGTCAGCATCCTCAGTGATGGTACATGTCCCAGTTCACACCTTTGCTTTCATACATGTTGTGCTGTCAAGAATAATCGTTAGTTTTAAACCGGCACCGAAAGCAGCAACAGGCATTCCAAAGGGATGCACAGGATGAGCTAGTGACAGCAGCCACTTGGCATTTCCAATCCTGTGGTGCAAAAGGGGATGTGTTCTAAGTATTTTGACTTCTTGAATCTCTTGTGGTTTTGTCAGGAATACAATTGACATATCAGGATATGTACGCACAATCTCTTATTACTGTTTAAACTTAGAAAACAATACCATATCCTGTGCCAACAGGACTACTAAGGGCTATGCAAAATTATTTGTCAGCTCTTTGAAATACCTTTCCTTTTCTGGATAATAAAGACACCATTTCTCCAGCAGCTTCTACTTCTCTGTCTTTAAACAGTTGTGTGAATCAGGTTATTCACCTATGACTACAACCAAGTCCTAGCTACAGGTGCGTGGTTCCATAAAGAAGTATTTCTGCATTATAATTTAACTTCCCTGGCTGTAAAAACAGTGTGTGTTTTTTAAAAGTTTTTTCAACACTTGTCAGTATGTGACCATACTAATGCAATCCTTTGCAATCAACAGGAATGTATTAAAGCACCTTGATGTCAAACCAACTTTTTTTATACCTTGCACAACAAGAAGTGATGACTTCTTCATTTACAGAAGCCAAATAATGCTCACAGACTATACAGACTAGAGGCAGATCTTTATAGTCTTTATCACACAAGACTTTAAAAAACTTGGGTGCAAAGTAGCATAAAGGCAATGCCATTTTCTGAACCTACAGTGTTTATGCCAAAAGTGCAATAGGATACTATAGGAAATGCAAATGCCTGTTAAACCATAAGTGACAACCTTAACGAGGGACTGTTATGCATACAGCATGAAAAGTAATTTAACTTAATACCTCCAGTTCAGGTTTCAGCCTTGAGTACTCTGCATATTCTTCTATTTGTGCCTAACAATGTTGAACAGCATTTGATACTTTTGGGATCATTACAGTGTCAACTCTCCCATCTTGGCCAACTGCAAATTAAATTCTCTGTAGCTGTTTCCTCTGTGGTCCCAAATGGATGAGATTGTTGCACAGCTGAGTAAGGCCAGGGGCCAGTTATATCCAAAAATTGAAAACTGCTTTGGCAATTTCAGCCTTCGTGTCTCTGAAGGAGACAGGGAAGGAGGGCCTTGGTGTGGAGTGTGGGACCACAACAGCCATAGTGGTGACAAGGTCTGCTAGTGCCCATGAAGTGTCAGGCTCACTCCTAACATAGAAAGACACTTCAAAAATATGGCATTTTAGGGTGGAACCCTTCCCATTTTCCTTTTCTATAAGCACAGCTGGAGGCTGTAGCTTTCTATAAGCTGTAGCTGGAGGCTACAGCTGCCTGCACACTGGTGTGAGCTGTGGGCCATCTCTGGTTCCACCTTGTTCATAGGGCAGTTCAGAAATGCCCCAGGGCTGAAGCTGAATGCAGAAATTCATACACCCAGCCAGTGTCTTTGGCACCAGTTACAGTCATGCTGGCCCTACAAATCTTAAAATCGTTTCCAACCTTGTGAGTTGAAAAGCAGCACTGGGGATGCCCTGAGGATATGGAGTGCTGGGGAAAGTAAAACAGCTCTGGTCTTTCTCAGGCCAGGAGTTGTTGAGACCGTATGTCCTACTTCCCATTCCAGTGACTGTGCTTTGATGCCCAAAAGTAGGCATAACCCTCCAACCTGTTGCTCATCCATGTTTCAAAGCACCAATGAGCCCCAGCCCACCTTATGGAGAGAACACCATATCCTGTATACTTTGCAAACAAACCAAGAGTGGTTTAGGATCTACCATTCTCCAAACCCCTTGGTACTGGCAGCCCAGTGATGGTGATGCCTGTCTTAGTCTGTAGTGGTGGGACTGGGACTTGAGGGGCCTGTTTTCTGCAGAGGCTTTGTGGGGAGCCTGGCAGCTCAGACCAGCAGCTCTGTCAGCCACTGCATGCCCAAGAGAACTGGCAGCATCTTCTGCCCCTGAACATCGGCATCCTCTGTAGGTTCTCTGGGCCAGTTGGGCAAACAGGTTGAAAAGGCTCTGGTTCCAGTAAGTCACACAGAGAACACAAACAGAGGCATCTGGCTGTGAAATAGTTTGTACAGGCATAACTAACTGAACTTTCACATCACAAATACGACCCAGAAAAAAGTCACTATTTTTCAGGGGGACATCTAGTCTTTGCATTTACTTACAGCCATGCAAACTGCCTAACAGTGAAAAGCACGCTCTGGCAGAGACAGGAGTGAGATCCATCCTGGATGTCAAATACAGATGTTACAAAATCCCAGAATGGTTTTGGTTGGAAGGGACCTTAAAGACCATCTAGTTCCAACCCCTCTGCCATGGCCAGGGACACCTTCCACTAGGCCACGTTGCTCAGAACTCAACAGCAACACCTCCTTCTAGCCCACCAGCAACAGACTCCTGAGTTTCCACTGGCTTCTGCCCACCAAATGCCAGTCCTCCTAAGGAGGATGTGCCCTGAAAGAGGTGGGTGTCAGTGGCTTGTCTGTCAGCAGTTTATCAGAGTGAAAACAAACAGGGAAATTTTTCAGGTCCAGGAGGAGAATGGAGGAAACCCAAGATTCACATCAGTTTTAGAAGTGCTGAGGGACTCCTCGTTAGGAAAACAACAGATCAGTCAGCCTGGGGTAGGGCTGCAGATCTGGGACTCAAACTGAACAGGTAGGAGGTACACTCAATAGGCTGACTGGGAAACTGCTCCCCACACAGAAAACAAATCTTCCCTGGAATCAATCAGATGTAGTCATGCCTGACTGTAGCTGATGTTTCTAATATTTTTATTATTTTTTTTTAAATTAGATTATCGTTGCTTTTCCTTCTCTGGATTTGTTCTGTGTTTTGTTTTACTTGTGTGACTTTTGCCATTATACAAATTTAAACCAACAATTTCTTCTTTTGTCTTATGCTCAGCATACTGTACAACTCACTTCACTGGGACCACAGAGCTCCAAATCGATGAGACAGGCACGAACAAGAAAATGAGGACAAGAGCAACCCCACTGTGTTTGCTTCAAGCCCTGCTAAAAGGTGACCTAGAACTGCAGGTTAGGACCAAACTGTGGTTTCCAATTTTAGAAAGGAAAAGCCTTTATAAAGCAGGTGCCAAGATCTTGAACCTATTAGCTGGTTTTCTATTGCCTTTCTGGGCATGGTTGAAATTTCTGTCATTAGAAGTGTTTTTTTATTTGGAGGTGGTGGTGGGAGAAATATCTTTTTTTAAATTTTTAACACTAAACCAAAAATCCCAAGCCTGGTCCTGGTCCCCTTCATTATCCAAACCCAAACTCGTTATCTCTCTCTCACTTGAAGTGAGTATATATATTCTATGCAAGCTAAAATAATCAGGGGCCAATTTTTAAGTACTAAAAGAAGTTTTACAGCTATGTTACATTTGACTGAAAGGAGAAAAAACAAGTATTACAGTAAAAAAATGCTTCAGAGGAGCTAGCAAAGGACTGCAGCAGGCTGGAGCCCCTCACATGTCCTCCTCAGTAATTTCTTCACTCTATTATAATAATCACTCAGTGTTTTCTGTCACTTCACTTTTTGTGTTCTTTGTTATTTAAGTTAATGTTTCCTTACTAGCCTTTCCCCAAAAGTAAACACAAGCATATCATTGTAGAATTAGCACATAGGGGTGGTCTTGCAAGTTTTACATACCGTGTATGCATATGAACAGAGCAGTACTTGTGGTATAGAGGGAAACTGCTGTTATGAAAGGCACTGACAGAGCTGGCAAAGGAGGTTTTTGAAATATGGGTCCATCTGAGATTTAACACATCACTAAAACTCTGGTGGTATTTGTTACCAAGATATACTTCAGGTATTTGTTTGCAATACCTCTTCCCTCCCCTTGGGTCTGTCCACACTGTCTGCCAGTGTGTCAGGCCAAGGCCTCGAGGCCAATTCCTGGACAGGACTGTGGTCCTGCACACTAATGAACATTACTAAGCCTGTGAAGTTGGTGCAGGTGTTCATGGGTGAAAAGTTATTGCAGTTTGACCCACCTGGTGGTGTATTGCATTGGAACAAGCACAAATCAATTTTAATGCATTTCTAGCTGCATGGGAAAAAAAATCACAAAGTTGTTTTCTTTCAAATGACTGCTTCTCACACAAGTTTTTCCATCAAGGACTTAAAACCAGACTCGTAGCCTTTGTGTAAGCAGTTCCTATTAACCAAGCTACAAACATGAAAGTGCAGAAAAAATTGAACAAGTAGACAGGACAGAAAAGTTGAATGAGCATTGGCTCTTCTTATTTTAATGAAGAAATATTTCAAGTTAATATCAGTGCATATTTAGAAATAGCATGTGATACTCCCAATGCCAAATACAACAGCAAATTACAGTTTCAAAACTTTATAAATGAATGGCAAGGAAAAAAAAAAGATTAACAGAGAGGATAAAGTTCAAAATAAACATCCTGTTTGTTTGCTGCACTGTGTCAATTATATTCCTGGTACTTACACAGCAAGAGTGATCCAGTATTTCATGGTAATTAGGCTCTCCAAAATAGCAGTTATTTTCCTACAAATGAATTAAGCGGTTTGCATTTATTTTTGATGTATAATTAAATGTTATTCTTAGCTGTTACAAAGAAATTTAGTCATGTCAGAGTAAAATTTCATTCCATGACTGAAAAAATCACACTAACATAGGAACACTGCCTTCTGGTTATACCCACTGGTAACAGTCAGCTGAGAATAGGAAGAACTACGTGTAAGCACATTTGGCTGTTACATAAAATGGCTTTTTTTTTCTGTTTCACAGCCTCATAACAATACTGTTTTTCAACATTGTTCCCAGTCATTGTTTTTAAAATGGTTCATCAACATATCCTGAATCAATCACCGATATAAATAACTCCAGTGACAAAATCCATTATGAAAGGACACAGAACTTCAAACTGAAAGTTGTACTGAATGATTTTAAGGTGGAACTGTAATTACTCTATAAGGTTAAAAAAAAAAAAAAAGAAAACCACACAGTAAAAGCCGTATCTGTAATTAACTGGCAATGATGGAATCTGAAAAACTGAGATGTAATTTTAAGAGATGTCTAATTCACAATGGACTGTAAAGTAAGACAAATCATACTAAAGCTAGAGAGAGATGCACATTTAAAGCTTGCAAGTGTTATATAAAAATATTTTCTAGTTCTTTCAATACAAGGAGTCCAATTCCCTAATGGAAGAAGATAAAATACATCCTCTTTCCTACTCCATTGCTGTACATATAGACTGTTCCCTGCATATCAGGAAATGGCTTTTCCCCAACAAAAATACCAGCCTTGGGAATCGCAGACTTTCTGATAGTCAGGGTTTGTTGATTTTGCTTTTTAAAGTATACTTTCAAGCAGGTGAAATACTGACAGGATATGCATTTTGTTCATTACTAGTCTACTGTGCAAATCATATACATTGACCCTGTAACTTCAATCCAGCTGCAGTCTGCATCACCTAGAATGACTGTGAATCTTACTGTATGGAGATGACTGCCAGGTTATGAAATATCAGGCTAAATCAGATTAGTGGGAAAGGCACATGCTTGGGATTAAGCAGGAACACCTGAAGGTTCCTTGTTACCGTACCCTTACGCTCCTGGAGTTACAATAATTCTGTGCACTACCCAAACAACAAAGTTTGCTTCCAGAAAATTGTGAGGTAACAGGAAACTTCTGCTTATGGCACGTACACATGAAAGGTCTGTGAGTTCAGCTGAAACACTTGAGGTGGTAGGGATAACAGACACAAGGGAGGCTACAGTCTGGTTAGGCCAGAAACAAAAACTTAACATTTTGTTATACCACGTACATTCCTTTTATGCACAAACACAAGGTGCGCAAAATAAACTGTTTGCTCAGTACAATTTAATGTTTTTCATATGTAAAATAATCACCTAATACCGCAATATAATCAAAAATCATGCACTAGATAAACAGAGCTGCTTCCCCATGAACAGTAGTTCTCGGGAACATTTTATTCTGCTTCAGGTAACATCTCATGATTTGCTAGCTTACGCAGTCCCTTTTAAAGAACACAGTATTTAGCTAAAACTGAAGAGCAAAATTAAAAAAAAAAAAAAGAAGTTTTGATTTTATTTGTGATACAGCTGGGACAGATGCAACTGAGCTGCTGCAATGCACGAAAGAACAATGAAAATTCAACATGAATATCAGAAGAATAAATATATACTCTAAATTAAGCTCTGTAAATACATTCACAGGTCCACTTAAGACACCCTTATGCATAATTCATACTTCTTCAAATCTGCAGAGAGAGATGGATGTTAGTTCATGGGGAAAGCAATTTATCATATGACTCGGTTTATCTGTCATTATTCCAGCAAAAATCAGTAGCAAATCTGAAAATCTACATTACTTTTCCCCAGACCAACCACACAGAGGCTTAAGTCACAAAATCTATTATTTCCAATATTTGACCAATAAGGCTTTATTTACACTTTTTTTTCTATAAAGTCAGGAAAAGGTTTGGTGCAATGTACAAGAAAAGACTGCACATTTCACCAACTGGAGACTAACATCTGCTTATGGTTTAATGCTAACCCAGAGGCAGCCAATTAAAGTCCCATATATCCATGTTTTTACATAAAGTTTCCTTCCAGATTCTGTCAGAAGCATACTAGCAGTCAGGCCACCTAAAAACAGCAAAGACGGCAAAGTTTTCTTGAGGCTTAGTTTGGAATGAACACTTTTTCCAGGGAATTTATTTCTTCTTTTAGAATCCTTCGCATCATAAAATTCTATTAGTAACCTAAAAGCAGAGAAAAGGAGATGGTTAAAGTCATACAGGAGTGTAAGGCATTTTAAGCACCTTACTTTCCTCCAGTAACTGCTTCTAATCACACATTATTTAACAAATGATCTCACCATGTGTAGCAGCTCATCTGTAGCAAGTTGAAACAATGAGTACACCTTATGAACATGTTGCATGTCAGAGTACTCAACCTGAACGCTTGTAAGCAATAAAGGTATATTTTCCTTGGGGACTAATTTTAACAGTGAACATAAAAAATTGAAAAGAATCCTTTTCATTCAGCATTTAGCATAAAAGCCCATAGCACTGAGCAGTATTGTAGGACAAAACAACACACAGATAATCACTGAACACCAAAGGAAGAGGAAAAAACATCTTCCTAAATAAACTAATAAATAACAAAGGCTCACAAGACACTAAATACATCGGAAGCTAAACATGCAGAAGTAAAATGCTACACCACTGGTTTAGTGGTAACTTTTTTCCTCCTACTTTTAAAAACCTTTAATAAATGGATCTGGAAATTCTGGAGTTTTAACTATCTCTAAATTTGCCTGACAGATTCTTTGGTCCCAGGAAAGATGTTCCAGTGAACAAGAGCCTACAATGAGACGGAGATAATCAGGGTTCAGTTTTGCTTGTCTTCACCAGACAACTAAAGGTACAGACACCTGGCAGTCTTTTATTTTGTGTATCACCTCCTTGTCTATATAAATTAAATCCACACTTTCTTCCTTTCTAAAGTGAAGAAAAGTTTTTTAGTGATTTTAAATGTCTAAGACACTTTAGTAACAGTGCCATGCTTACAGATAGTCATGTTAACTTTTACATGAATTCAAAGTTCACAGGAGAAATGAATACATTTTTTACTTCCATGGAGTGTGAGATTGGCAGAACAATTTTAAAGCAGAACATAACTGAAGAATCAGGGAAATTTCTGTCTCACATAAAGTATTCAAGGATTTAGAAAGTAAACAGATGCAGCTCCTTAAGTTGGACTTAATGGCAAATAAAACCATCATCTCTCAAACAATATTTAAATCCCACATTAAGGTACAAAGTCCTTCCAGAGAACAAGGTCCCCTAGGATCTGCTGCATATGCTCACTAGTGAGCTTATCTGGAGATGCTGGAGGGAGCCAGGCACTTCAGTTCCGCCACAATTAAAAAATGGACAAATGAAACTTCTACTTCACCTTGTTTCCCTAGTGAAGGTAGGGATTTTGGGGTTAATTGTGGGTTTTATCCAGTTGATATCTGGATGAAAAACATGTAAACAATTTTGGCAGAAGAGATTAGATCAAGACCTGCCTTTAACTCCAACTTAAAACTGACTACAAGGAAAGAATCACACTGCTTTGTTTTGCTTGCCTACCACAGGCATCTTACATTCTTGGCTATACAGGACTCAACTACAAGCAGATAAACGGAGAGTATTCAAATGAATACGAGTCTTGCCTGGAACACAAGACTCACACCTCTTCAATCTAAGGAAGGTCAAAACCCCAGGAATCCCAACCTCCTGAGCAAAAGGTTTAAGCAGAAGGTTCTGATACGTTATATGCACAGGAATACCAACATCACCCTCTCTTCAGAGAGCCTTAAAGCTGGTACTTAAAGCTGGTAACACAGAAATCAAGGGTGTATCTGTTAATACAAAAGAAGTAAGACAGACAGTTGAAACAGGAAGTTCTACATATTTCTACTCACTTATCCTTTATTTCAAAACGTTCATGAAGCCACCTTCTCATATACATCTGCTCTTCTGGAATGTCCTTCAGCTCAATTCGGTCAATGAAAATATGAACTTTTGGGCATTCCTTACAAAGAAACTCTAAAAAGAGAGCAAAACAACAGAACTGAGTCACAAAAACACTGTAGGGCATTTATTTGTCTAAAATACACCAAAAAAATTGGTCTGTGCGTGCCTTGGAAGCCTAACCTCAGTGCTCAAAAGCCTCCCCTCCTTACGTTCAGATCCTGAGCACTTCGCTGAACTTAGAAACCACCTGGCCTACACACTTCCAAACAGTGGACCATTGTAGGAGCAGGTGTTCAGCGAAAGGCCCCAGAGATCACGTGCAACATGGAAGAATTGTCCTAAAATGCACCCTGCTAACTGTAAAATGCTGTGCTTGAAAACATTATGCTCTACCTCAGCAGCAATCTACTCATTCAGAAGTGTGGGATGCAGTAACTTTGATACTGTAGTTATCCATCCTGCAATCTTGTTAGTAGTCCTCTTTGCTTGTCCTTTTTAAAATCTAAATTTTGTTTGCTCCTGGATTGGAATTACAGTGATTTCCCAAAGCATCTCCAGAAGAAATAATCTATAATTACGAAGTATAAGAGGGCAAAAATCTCGGAAAAAAATGATGCTTTCTATTTTTTATCCCTTCATTTTTCTTCTGTCTTACAAAGCTCGAGACAGCCCTGTTGTAATTCCCCTCCCCCATTTCCTCAATTTGTCCCTAGAAAAATTTACCAAGCAAGCATTAATGAAAAACAAAACCCCATTACTCAAATAGCCTTGTCGGATTTCTTACAACTAATAAGTGGTAAAAATACTGTGCATGACTATTGTGATATACTGCACATTGTAAAATACTATGCTTATTGTAACCACTGTGAAATCCTGTGCAGTGTGTATTGGTAACCATCTGCATTTACCAGTAGCAAGGGGTGCTGCAGTAACCATGACATCTCTGTACAGAGAGATGCATGATGTGAGGATGGAAGTCTTCAGAAATTTGGACAGTTTTCATATTTTGGAAATGGACCAGAAGTGCCTTCCTACAATACAAACAAGCAACAAATGTAACACAGAGAGGGTGGTCCCTTTAGGTTGTTGACATGTTTGGACAGCAGTGCAGATGTACAGAAGACTTTGACCCGTAACTGTTAGGGGTATCTTGAGGAATGAATGTGCAAAATAATTGCTGTGGCATGTACATCTTTATTGTTGTCTGCCAAAGCAGATATCCCTGTATTTATTTTTCATCTTTACAGGATTACTGATTTGGAAGGACTTTGTTGTAAAAGCAGTCCTTATCATATACTAGAAATTGCCTTAAGGAATTTTAAAAGCCTGTTCATGCAAATGTGTATGTGTGCTTGCAGAGGGGGAGGGAAGGAGAAGAGATAAAGAGATCACTGAAGTCTTATGGCAGTTTGATGCACAAATCTGTAAGGTGCTGTGTGTGGTTCTGTCTAGAGTTCACGCAAAGAGAGCCCTTCACCAAACTGCACCGTAACGTAAAGGGAGCAACATGGCCCCGCACCATCAGCTGGGGAAATGGCTGAGGGCCCCCAGCAGGCACAAGTCAACCTCAGCCATGCAGCAGCAAACACAGCTGGCACCAGAAGGTTCCTGGCAGAACCTTCTCCTAGCTACAGCTATTAGATGACAGGCAAGTTAAGTACTTGGAGTCCGGAATGATGGTACAAGTAGACATTTTCTTCAGGTTTATGTGCAATGCTTTTACTAACCACAAAGAAATCAGAGTTCTTTTATCTATAAGCAGGTTTTTCTCTTGCTTTAATGAGAAGAAAGGATTTTCCAGGCCTGTTTCTCCAAGGATACTATCCAGGCCCCTACATGAAGGTCATTGACTATATGATCACCTAAAAGCATACTATTAATATTTTAAAATGACAGATGTATTATCCATGTCTTAAACGCTTATGATGTTCACTGATGTATAAATCCTCTTTTGAATGGCATTACTATAAAGTGGAACATTCTAACAACATGCAGAACTGTATCTAGAAAACAAATGCCTGGAAGCCAGATGATACAGTCTTTTTTTGCACTAGACTCCTATAAAAAGCATCTATGGTATGCATATTCAGCTAGAGCTCAAGATCCAGCTTTAAAAGATATTTGAAACATTCTGTGCATTTTCTACTGTATGTTTCTTTTGCTTCATAGCACATAGGTTGCTCTGCATAGGAACAAACAAGTCTTTACTGATGTTAACTATAATAATGGCCAGTGTTCGCGAGCGAAGATTTGGGAAAGGTCATTAACCCTTCGAGCCTGCGCAGTGGATTTTTTAGGTGAGACACAGCGTGCGCTGAACTGAGCCCACCCTTTAATCCTGAGGTTCATCTGCTGGGGCCAAGCAAGCTTGGACAGTAGCAGTGAGGGTCTCAGAACGTAGGTTTGTTTAGAGTGACCTTCTCTTAGATGGATTGCCTCACAGGGCTAACGAGCTCCATCTGCCCGGGGGGCTGGGAATCGAACCCGGGTCGCAGCGGTGAGAGTCCTGCACCCTAACCACTAGACCACTAGAGGCCCCTGTTAACTATAACCTCAGTTATAAATTATTAAGGGAAATTATAAGCCAATCAAAATTCAAGACATAAGTATTTCAAAAGAAACACCTTACCCCCATCCCAAGCTGAAATGTAGCAATTCTACAAATCTGCTTGGACAGCCAAAAACCTCCACAAATACCTGAGAGTTGCTGCTCGCTTTCTACCTTGTGCCCAAGTTCCAATGCAAGTTGATTCTTACCACTTCCCACTCTGGTCTTCTTCAAACAATCTAAATTGAGTCCCCATATGTGAAGATCCTAAAACTTTGTCATAATTTCCCACCTTTGTAAATGCCAATGCTTTCTTCCACAGCCTTACTCTCCCTTGCAGTTTGAGCTTAGTACAACCTCACTGAAGGCTGTGGGATCTGCTACTGCAGGTGCTCCCCTGGAGAGGGTCATGATTCCCACACATCAATTCAAGGCCCTTTTATCCAAAGTCTGGGCAACCAGGACATCTGCAGATAATACTGTAATGCATGCAATCAAGCACATCAGGGAATCTGACTAGTCTTTAATTATCCAATTCATATCAGGGTTTAATGCAACTAATCCAACTTTTTTCCCCAATCTACAATGTCACTGCAATCACATAACAACACCAGTGAATAAGGACAATATATTGAGGTCGATTTTGAGAAGAAACAGCTGGATTTTATCACCACAACCTCTAAAGGTTAGTGGTGGTCCCATGACTCCTAATTTCACATTAGCTTAACTCCCCAAAGACTTATGCAATTAAGCTAAGAAACAAAATCTTATTGAAGCAATTTATTACATTCAAATTACGTCTAACTTCAGGGACACTAGCCCTTAAGGCCAACATCTTACAGGCTTTTCAGATTCCTAAACTTGCCAGGGTTTGTTATAATTAACAGCAGGAACAAGCAAGCCTGAACTTTCCTTCAAGAGACAAACCATAAGTGCAAACCATGCATTACAAGCAAACATTATGTTGGGGACAGCATTAGCCAATCAAGAATTGTGTACCAATTGGGTTAAATTAATGCTAACAACTCGTGTGGGAGCCAAGTGGATTGACTTTTGTGTAGGAGATAATTTCCTAATAAAACTTTCTATCTGGCTAAATAACAGATACAAGCACAGAATGTTTATAATGCTTCTAGTGGCCAACCACAGCAGAAGGAAGGAATTGAAAATAATAAGGTGGATTGAGCATTTTTTTCCCTTAGACTGTGACACTGTGTCCTTCCTTCTGTGGGAGAGGTTTCACACTAACACAGGGCTGAAGGATTCAGTGCAGAATTAGGATTAATGAATGAGGTGCAGCAGTCTCCAGGAAAGGAATTGGATTCACAAGATTTTTAATTGCAAACCAATGTTTGGAGCTTCCACAAAATTCTAACAGTTCTCAACTCCTCACCTTCAGAAGCCAATTAATTGTTTGGAATTA